TTTAACGTTGAATATTATTTATGATTTTAGGCATATACTCAATTGAACGCGATTCAAACCTATGTTCATAATATAGAAATGTGATACATAAAGTGATGATATCATGAATAATAACCCTACTATAATTTGAGAGATGCGTGTGTTATGTTTTTTTCTAACTCCTCCAGGTTTTTACATTTGGACCTGTCAAATATGAATTAATGATTGTTTTAAAATGAATAGATTTCATAGCTCCAGTTCTCCAGTCAATGAGGGCGGGCACTAGTGGTACTAATGGGATTTCTCCAGTTTCTTCGTTTATTACATGGGGTATACATACAATATATGTACTTTCAATCATTACTGTCATATTTAGGACAAAAACACTAATACTGTTAATAACTGATAAAACATTAATTTTACAATTGCATTTTGTTTTCAAATCCCACCAATCGAGATATTGTTTTCACACATTGTTTTGTTAACACATTTTCTACACAAGCACTCTTATATCAAATGACATTTTTTTAAGTCACACGTTACAAACACATTTTTATATTCACAATTGTTAAATATTTCGTTTCCAAATCTTAGCAATCACTTGAGGTACTTAATATTCATTGATATAAATACCTCATAACAACACTTAGCAACAGTGTGTACTTTATTAGCATATATCTAAATATACACATTATTTCTGTTTTGTATTTTACACGTCAATCAGGGTGTGATCATACCCAACATAATAATAATACGCAAGAGAAGCTTACCAAGAACGTAAAGGACAATTGAAAGGAAAAAGGTTGTGAGTGCATACATAGCCACGAACCCCAGTAAAGATGTAGCCATAGATAAAACGAAATAATGACCATTCTCTACAAAGCCAATAAATAAATCATATAAATGATTTGTTAATTTTCATAAACCGCTCACCATATATCGCACGGATACAGCAATCAGTAAAAATAATTTCGGAATGGTCCAATAATACCACATATTATAGAGACCACATCCTCTGATTATTTGT